TTGGTGAGAACAGAAGAAGAAAAAACTCGAACAAAGATAACAACCAACCCACTTAAAAGTGAAGTCTACAAAAGATTGTTGGATGTCCGAACTAAAGATATATTATTGAACCTTGTCATTCAACCTGAAAAACATTACAGCCCACTTCTTCTTGATATTCAAAACGATGTTTCAATTCTTAATAAAATGAACAAGTTAATTCTCACCGAAGAGGAGTGTAAACAATTAGAAGAATGGACAGACTTACGAGTTGGAAATTGTGTCTTTGACTCTTTGATAGACAATTGGGATCAAAGCAATGCTACCTTTAGAAATGCAGTTTTAGGAAAAAACAATTTGGTCTTTATCGTAAAGACTGACAAAAATTTAGTATTTGGTGGCTTTGTAAGTGCGACCATTGAAAGTGTTAACACGTGGAATCAAGATATGAATGCATTTGTTTTTACTATGAACAACTTGAATACTCTTCCTTCAAAAATGATGTTCAAAATCAACAACTGTGACATTCAGAATGCATTTTTATGTGAGCAAGAAAGCAGTGGAACGTTGTTTAGATTTGGCAATGGAGACATTATGGTCTATAACAGGAACATCAAAGCATCCAATTATTGTGTTCCTTCGTCTTATTCATATGGAGCATACTCAAATGCCTTATTGGGTTCGAACACATCGAGTTTCAAAGTAGATTCCATCGCTGTCTTTGAAATGGTCTGACACGTATTAATTCTATTTATAATGTGTTTTTTTATATAATTACAATACTATAATTTATAGTTTTATAATTCAGACATGAAAACTTACAAACAATGATTCAATACTTCTTATATTAGTATATTATATAAAATACTATTAGTATATTATATATATTCGATATGTTATATATGTTCAAAGAACTTCAAAAAGCAAAGATGGGGTTTCTAGAATTTATCCAAAGACACACTTTCACACTCTACTTACTTCCTGTTCTTTGCTTTTGTGTGATGACAGGGGAGTCGTATGGATATGACACATGCATTGCAGACAGACTTTTGGACAAAAAAACGTCGATTTGGAAATATGTGAACCCACAAACCCTCTCCGTCGCGACGTGTTTTTTGGTTGTTTTATTTGCCAGTGTTAGATACAACAGTTTGTCATTTTAAGTAACAAATAAGTGCTACAATAGGCTAAATGCATAGAGCGAATCACTATAATGTGTACTCCAATCCTCGACTTTTTGAACTCATTTGTCTTTCATAGGTACATGTACTTCATTTTGTGTATTATGAAAAAGCCTATGAATGACGCAAATTGTACTGTTGTAGCAGACAAATACAACAGCATCAGTGGACATTACATGACCCTCCTTTTCACGTTTGTTGTCCTCATTCGACTGATTAAAACAACTTCAATTCAACCAAACACCAACTTCCATTCCATCTCTTTCAAAAACACTTCTGTCGCAGACCAAGGCTCTACTATTAAAGGTCCATTCGGCGAAAAGTGCTCAATATGGTCTTACAACACAATGTCGACACAGTTCGTGCTTAGTGTCGGAACACTCTTTTGTTTTGTGTGTATTTCGTACGTTTGTATGGTTGACACACTCCGCCTTGGGTATCATACTGCACGGCAGGCTCTTTATGGTATTGTTTTTGGTATTGTGGTGATTTATATTTATTACTTCCTTACTCAATTGAAGCCGTTCTTCTTCAGTTTCGTGAACTTAATTCTCTTCACAATATGTTATCTGTGCTTTTCACTATTTTACAATAGACATGTGCACTTCGACTTCTATGTTGGACTTGCCGTCTTTAATCTGCTCTTTGGAATCATCAGAGAGTCCGCCAAAGCAGATTTAAACGAATTTGATGAGTAACTTTTATTATTAGTTCTTTCTGGTAAAGTACTAAAAACCAAACTACTTTTGTACATTATTGTTTATTCTATATATGTCACTTAAAAATTACATTGGCCAGACAGCTTACTGTTGGCCTAAAACACACATTTGCGTGACTTTCTCGTGAGGAGATCCAACAAGAAAGAGTTCACCGCTTTCTTCGAAAACGGTGTCTTCCTCTTCTTCACTCTCGCACACCTCTTCCATCCCGCACTCATCTCGTTTCACACACAACACTTGACACTCTGCGTCCTCTTCAGTTGGTCCTGGCGTTACACACAAACAGTAGTCCCCTTGGGTCCCAAGTTCACTGTTCTTCCCAGCCACAATAGCAATTTTCTTAATATTAGGAAAGCTCCTCAGCTTTCCCAAAAGAGACAAGTCAGTGCAATTCGTCAACAAAAGAAAGTCTAAGTTCTGTTTCTTGTTTTTGAAAAAGCTGGCCACGTCTACAGATTCATTGTTCAGATCGAGTCTCAGTTTTCTTAAGTTCTTATACGACGAAAAATCGACCTCATCGTAGTAACAGAGCGTTGCATTCAGTTCAACAATTTTGTTCAAAACGATCTCAGCGACTCCTTCACCCTCTGGAATTCCGTTCATGATTATCTCCTTTGACTTTTCTATCTCTGACCAAAACCGAAGATTCTCATTACCTTCCCAGTCAAATGTAACAATGTCGTCGCTGCACAGTTGGACTCGTTCTGATGAAGGAAAGACTTTGAATAAGTCAAATAGCCCTTCTCTGTAATTTGTAACATCGGTAACTTCGTTGACAGCATTTTCCCACTCCTTTGAGACTTGTGAAAGGTTAACAGCATCAGCAATGCTCTCAGCCATTTCGATGACAGAGCGCATAGCACTAATGGTAAAGCCCATCCGTCTGACTTTTTCAAGTTTTTATCCCTTCAAATATCCGTTCATTCTAAAAGACTTGTCTCTTCTCAATCTCGCGCATAATTGCCGAATTTTGCAGAACATTTATGAACTTTTTGTTAAAAAAATAAGAGGAAAAAGCACTTGTGGGTAGACTTTAGAATTTTGTTTTGTAAATGTAAACATCATAACTATTTCTTATCAACATTCATTTTATTCTATTGTGATATAGTATTTGTACTATTTGTTTATAAATATCTTATGAGGCAGTTTTGAGTTTTTCATTTTTATTCTGAAACTCAAAAAAGTAATGAGTTATCTCATAAACGCAGTTATGGTTTTTCTCCTTTCAGTATTTTTAAATTCCCAAAAATACAATCTACTCC